CTTTTCGCATATCATTAAAACTACTGCGCCGATCGTCGCGAAACTTTCACTACACTCTCGTACATTCCTTTAACATTGTGTTCAAAAATTGTTCAATTGCCTATGATAGGTTTGGCCAAAATGACGTCAGAGTGACGTCATTTTCATCGATTTAAAAGGCTAATATCTCAGCAACCGCTACACAGTGTGGCCGAGCACCAATTTAGCGCGAATTTAATCCCAGCGCCGCTCAGATCCACTGAAAATGCTCCCTGTTCCAAAATTGACACCCTTATTGAGACCTTTTGCGATACATTGTAAATGCTTGCTGGCACACAGCGACGTAATTTCGCAGAAAAAGTGAGGGGAACTAGGTCACGACGGGTGAGTATTTACCAGGGCCGGGCAGTCGATTGATCTTCGGTACTCTGACTTCGACTCCGACTCAAGCTTTCAAAAATCAATTTCGACTCCGACTCCTGGCTGAACTGTCGATAGACTCTGACTCCGATTCCGCAGCCATGACAAGTCTGCGGAGTCGATGAATTTTGGTGACTCCGACCCCGAGTCTGGCTCCGGATTCCAAAATCGATTTTATTTCGACTCTAACTCCGGTCAGAACTTCCACCAGATATGGACTCAGACTCCGCAATCCTGGTATTTACCAGCAAGTAAGAGGCATAAAATTAAAGAACAAGTGCGTTGTGTTTCGTTCCCATTACTATTCCGCCAAAGGTCTGGTGCGACCCAGTTTCATCCAACGATACAAGGCTGCTATAAGGTCAAGGTCACATGAGAGTTTCCTTGCTAAAAGTTTTTCACTGATTCAAGTCGGCCAAATGATGAAGACATTCTTGCCATGTTAAGGCTCTAAATAAATGCTTACAGCAAACTGGATGCCAGATTCGTGATCAGCGGTTACGAATCGTATATATAAGCTACCATTCATGTGTCTAGGCAAAAAGAAGGTCATTCGAGGTCACATGAGGTCAACATAAAACTTGAACTTTTCCATGCAAAATATATGTCATTCGACGCGTCTTGACAAGACGAATGCGATAGTACCACTACTGTAGCTCTCGGACCATTTTTGTTAGTTATTTGCGAAACACCAAAACCTCAGCTCAGGGTCGTTGACCTGACCTCTGACCTCAGGTCACCAAAACTATTTTCATACTTTTTTACCAGGGGTGCGGAGCCGGAGCCGGAGCTGGAGCCGGAGCCGCCGGAGCCGGCATATTTTGCCCGGAGCCGGAGCCGGAGCCGGAGCCGTCGAAAAAGGGGGGCGACTCCGGCTCCTTTTTTTGAAGAGGAAAAATTATTGACCTAGTTCGGTTTGACAGTTCAAGGCAGTAAAACATGCGGTAGTCAAAATATGAAAATAGCCTTGTTATGCAAATACAGAAGCAGCGCGCACCAAACCCATCATCTTGTTTCTTCCACCCGTATTTAATTGCATAGGGGATGTACTGAGTATTGGAGCCGGAGCCGGAGCCGGAGCAGCCGGAGCCGGACCATTTTACTCGGAGCCGAAGCCGGAGCCGGAGTCGCCATCGCATTTCACCCGGAGCCGGAGCCGGAGCCGATTTTTTTCTCTGGAGCCGGAGCCGTCTGAAATTTTCACGGCTCCGCATCCCTGCTTTTTACCCACATCAAACGCCACGCAACCGCTTCTGTTATTTGTCACAATCGTTTTGTCATAATTGTTTCACAATCGTTTGTTCCATGATATATTATTTGGGCATTTTGGGTAGGGTGAGTCAGGTGACGTCAGGTAAGGTCGATCATCAGGCTATTCTTATTTCGTCTTTACCAACACTGATAGCATCGGCCCGTGCCGCTGGTCACTACAGCGAAACTTGAGCAGCACACCCAGCGCTACTATCCACTCGCTCCTCGGCTAATTACTTCGACTGCCCGGCTCGGCCCGACCCTGCCCGGCCACCCTACCCGGAACAAATTGGACTCTGCGGGAGGTCGCGGGAGGGACCACAGCTTCAATGGGCCGCCCGACCCTTCATTAGGGGGCGCCACCGGACAGAAGAGTGTATACGGCGGCCAATTTTCACACACATTTTACACACATATTGACAGAACACCGACTTAACAGGACCGACCTCAAAATGGCCCTAGGGCATGTTTAGAGGCCAAGGAACATGGCCCCGGTCTTGGAATTGTCAGGACCGGGTTTTCGGTCCTGACAGGGAAATCGGTCCTGTCGGGTCGGTGTGTATCCCGTCATCGGCCCTGACAAGTGAGTGCTTACACACGCACACACACACACACACACACACACACACACACACACACACACACACACACACACACACACACACACACACACACACACACACACACACACACACACACACACACACACACACACACACACATACTTGTAAAGTGTGAATTATGAGGACACCGCACGTAGGTCATATTCGAGGACACATCGAAGACTGCGTTGGATTGACTCCTAATTTCATATGAATCATTGGCACAGTATCTGATATTACGTATTGACTGTTGTTAGCTTTGGGCCCATTTGAACTGGTGTTATGTGATGTTGACCATCCGAGGACAATAGGCGAGATCAGAGGACAGTGTGTGGAGTCGTCATACAGATAGGCGAGATCAGAGGACAGTGTGTGGAGTCGTCATACAGTACATGGTTTCTGAGAACAGAATGCGGAGTTGCCAGACAAGACATGATTTCAGGGGACATCACAAAATTTATGCTCGCGGGATGACATGTCATCGGATAAGGTAAGCGGTATCGAATATTAAACCTCGCCGGCCGAAGGGGAGGCCGCCCAAAAGTTTTTTTTCGCGATAGTTTCGAACACGCTGACGATGGCGAGCTGAAACTTGGCATACCTGACCTTTGATTCAAGCCGCATCTTCTGACATCAACCGCATTTCATTCGACACGCCAGACTAAGGCGAACACGATGTTGTGAAAATCGCGGCTGTGATATTTGTTTGCGTTTTTATTCGCCAAAAACCGAATCCATCTCTTGGGGCACTTGACCTGACCTCAGAGGTCACCGGTTGACCTAGGACCTTAAAATCGGGTACCAATCTCTGCGTCTCCTAACGGCGCACACGCTCGTTTTTTTTCCGCGACGCGCTAGCTCCATTAGGGGCGAAACGGCGAGGGGGTCGCACCCACCCCATTCGGCCGGCGCGTATGTATAGAAAACCAATAGGTCCGGCTCCGGCGAGGGTTAAACCAGGCAGTTGCTTGGGTGCCTCTCCACCCAACGCATGCTGGGGACCGGGGGGCGTTAAACACCCCCAGCCGATAACTCAAGCACCACTAATCGCAGCTAGACGGGCGAGACAGTAAAAGAAAGCTCGGGACAAGACACGTCTGATGAGCACTCAAAATTTGAATTTTGAAGTCAGGGGTCGGGTCAAGGTCAGGTCAACTACACGACATTGGGAACTCAGCAGTTTGGGTTTCATGACCTTCTGTGCTGGGCACTTATTATCATAAACGTGGTCATAATTGCGCAACATATTACAATTAAGTGATAAATGTGTGTCATGTTGATGCAATGGTCAGTTAATCTAAGCCCGGATTAAGGTGTTTCTCTAAAAGTTCAAGGTTTTGTTTCGTGCTACCTATAATACCGGTCTGTGTAATCCAGCACCGGCCGGACGGCGCGGGGCGAGACCTTCCGTACATAGATACAAAAAAGCGAAAAAAAGGACAGATGCTGTATTTGCCACAAAAACGGTGAAGGCCGGACTGGGCGCCGAACTGGGCGCCGGACTGGGCGCCGGACCGGGCACCGGACTGGGCGCCGGACTGGTGAAGCCCTTTTCACCTATCTGAGCGCCCGTCTCTGGCGGGTCGTAATCATATTGTGGACCTGGTACTTTACATCCTTCCAAGTCCGCTGTTTTAGGTCCGGCTCTTCAGCGATAGCTGACGAGCCGGACGAGCCACAGCTTGTTCAGGTTTGCGATAAACGGGCTTCACCATAGCTGACGGCTTCGGTTGGCGACCTCCTGTAAAAGCAGGAAAAACAATTAACTGAGGATACCTATACAATACCAAACGTCAAAAACAAAATATTCATCGAAGTCTCCGCATTGTAGCTTCCCCAGCACATAACGTGAACAACATCGACATCAAAATATTTTTCGGGTCGATGAATAGTGCCAGCATGCGAGAGAGAGAGAGAGAGAGAGAGAGAGAGAGAGAGAGAGAGAGAGAGAGAGAGAGAGAGAGAGAGAGAGAGAGAGAGAGAGAGAGAGAGAGAGAGAGAAGAGAGAGAGAGAAGAGAGAGAAGAGAGAGAGAGAAGAGAGAGAGACAGAGACAGAGACAGAGACAGAGACAGAGACAGAGACAGAGACAGAGACAGAGACAGAGACAGAGACAGAGACAGAGACAGAGACAGAGACAGAGACAGAGACAGAGACAGAGACAGAGACAGAGACAGAGACAGAGACAGAGACAGAGACAGAGACAGAGACAGAGAGAGAGAGAGAGAGAGAGAGAGAGAGAGAGAGAGAGAGAGAGAGAGAGAGAGAGAGAGAGAGAGAGAGAGAGAGAACTCACGAGACGTCGGCATAGCCACCGGTCCTTGCAGCGTCATCATCCTCGTGAGGACGACGGACTGGGCGCCAGACTGATCGTCGGGCTGGGCGTCAGACAGATCGTCGGACTGGGCGTCCGACTGGGCGTCCGACTGCACGCCGGACTGGTGGCCCCCTGCGAGGCTACCGGTCTCCGACACGGTGGCAGCCTCGGAACCATCCGGACCTGTCCGCACACAAAATCACTTGTAACAAGGGACCACAAGCCGACCGAACCATTCAACACGTAAGCCTGTTCGAAACACTCGGAAAAATACAATATAGAGACAGGAACAAAATATGGGGTACGGAGCACCGGAAACGCATTTAATGTTCATGGACGTACGCAACAGTTGGAAATGTGTGCTACACCATTGTATTAATCATAAAAAGATAGCAATGTTATACTCGTCCGGGCCGGGACATTAAGAAGAGCTGAAAATGTCCCGTAGCTCAGTTGGTAGAGCATTGGACTCCCGGTAGTGAGAGCCCGGGTTCGAGACGCTCCGGCGCTCGATATTTGAGACTCCTGACGGGGATGGTCTGCGGTTGGTAGGAGCAGCCGCAGGAAGTCAGTTGAGTGGGACAGGCCGTGTCCGGCTTTGAAGGGCACGTTAAACTTTGGCATCTAAATCCTCCCGTTACCCGGAATTGCACGATCGGACGGTAGGGGTCGGGGTCTACGCAACAAGCTCTGCTTAGCGTGGGCTCCGGCTCTGTCAATCCGTCCATTCAAACATTCGAGCTAAATTTATATAAAAAAAATGTTGGCGACAGAACAGAATTATTGTGAGCGGAGTAACATGAGGTAGGAGGGCGTGTTGGAGAAACAGGAAAACGACCAAAACAGAAAGAAGGTAGAGGGAGAGAGAAAGGGAGGGGAAGGAGAGACCTACGAGACGTCGGCATAGCCACCGGTCCTGGCAGCGTCATCATCCTCGTGAGGACGACGGACTGGGCGCCAGACTGATCGTCGGGCTGGGCGTCAGACAGATCGTCGGACTGGGCGTCCGACTGCACGCCGGACTGGTGGCCCCCTGCGAGGCTACCGGTCTCCGACACGGTGGCAGCCTCGGAACCATCCGGACCTGTCCGCACACAAAATCACTTGTAACAAGGGACCACGAGCCGACCGAACGATTCAACACGTAAGCCTGTTCGAAACACTCGGAAAAATACAATATAGAGACAGGAACAAAATATGGGGTACGGAGCACCGGAAACGCATTTAATGTTCATGGACGTACGCAACAGTTGGAAATGTGTGCTACACCATTGTATTAATCATAAAAAGATAGCAATGTTATACTCGTCCGGGCCGGGACATTAAAAAGAGCTGAAAATGTCCCGTAGCTCAGTTGGTAGAGCATTGGACTCCCGGTAGTGAGAGCCCGGGTTCGAGACGCTCCAGCGCTCGATATTTGAGACTCCTGACGGAGATGGTCTGCGGTTGGTGGGAGCAGCCGCAGCCAGGTTGAGTGGGACAGGCCGTGTCCGGCTTTGAAGGGCACGTTAAACGTTGGCATCTAAATCCTCCCGTTACCCAGAATTGCACGATCGGACGGTAGGGGTCGGGGTCTACGCAACAAGCTCTGCTCAGCGTGGGCTCCGGCTCTGTCCATCTGTCCATTCAAACATTCGAGCTAAATTTATATAAAAAAAAATGTTGGCGACAGAACAGAATTATTGTGAGCGGAGTAACATGAGGTAGGAGGGCGTGTTGGAGAAACAGGAAAACGACCAAAACAGAAAGAAGGTAGAAGGAGAGAGAAAGGGAGGGGAAGGGGAGACTCACGAGACGTCGGCATAGCCACCGGTCCTTGCAGCGTCATCATCCTCGTGAGGACGACGGACTGGGCGTCAGACAGATCGACGGGCTGGGCGTCAGACAGATCGTCGGACTGGGCGTCCGACTGGGCGTCCGACTGCGCGCCGGACTGGTGGCCCCCTGCGAGGCTACCGGTCTCCGACACGGTGGCAGCCTCGGAACCATCCGGACCTGTCCGCACACAAAATCACTTGTAACAAGGGACTACAAGCCGACCGAACCATTCAACACGTAAGCCAGTTAGGAACACTCGGAAAAAACAATACAGAGGTAGGAATTGAAATATTGGGTATGGAGCACCGGACACGCATTTAACCCAAGCCGGCACAGGATATTTTGCGTCCTTCGACGGCACAAGGGGGGTTGGTACGACCCCCCCTGCGTTTGACTCCTGATCGAGCTAGAGCTTCGCGGAAAAAAACGAGCGTGCTGCCCGTCACGAGACGAAGACGATAATACCCAATTTTAAGGTCCTAGTCATCAGTTCGCCTTCCAGATCAGGTCAATGACCCAAAAATCGGGAAAATCGAGACCTGTAAAAAGCTAATCTAGAAACATGTAAAACTCGAAAATTGAACCGAGGTCACCAAACGTCAATGACCTGACCTGACGTTCAGGTGACCTTGACATCCACCCCAATGTATGGGAGCAACATCAAATCACATGTTTGAACGTTTGAAACCACGAGAAGCTTGCAAACGCGCGGCTAATGCGAGCCGACATACACCGAATCGCGATTCCGGCCAGACATGGTCTCGGAAAGTAGATCACAGGTCAAAGATCATACGGGTCAGGGTCATGAAATTTTCAATGTAGGTGTCAATTGATCAATGCGAGGGTACTGAAAGTTTCGTCGCGATCGACCGCTTTTAAAAACGAATTATTCGCGAAAACCCTTAGGGGAGGGGTTGCATCCCCCCTGTGCCGGCGAGGGTTAATGGTCATGCACGTACGCCACATGTGGAAACGTGTGCTACACCATTGCCTTAATCATAAAAAGACAGTAATGTTACCCTCGTCAGGACGGGACATCGAGAATAGCTGAAAATGGCTGGCGACAGAACAAAAATATTGTGAGAGGAGTAAGATGAGGTAGGAGGGCGTGTTGGAGAAACAGGAAAACGACCAAAACAGAAAGAAGGTAGAGGGAGAGAGAAAGGGAGGGGAAGGAGAGACTTACGAGACGTCGGCATAGCCACCGGTCCTGGCAGCGTCATCATCCTCGTGAGGACGGCGGACTGGGCGCCAGACTGATCGTCGGGCTGGGCGTCAGACAGATCGTCGGACTGGGCGTCCGACTGGGCGTCCGACTGGGCGTCCGACTGCGCGCCGGACTGGTGGCCCCCTGCGAGGCTACCGGTCTCCGACACGGTGGCAGCCTCGGAACCATCCGGACCTGTCCGCACACAAAATCACTTGTAACAAGGGACCACAAGCCGACCGAACCATTCAACACGTTAGCATTCGGACCAGATAACAGCATAGAGGCAGCAACAAAATACAGTGTATAGAGGACCGGGAATGCGCTTATTGTTGACGCACGTACGCGACATGTGGAAATTTGCCTCAATGATAAAAAGACAGTAATGTAACCCTCGTCCGGACCAGGATATTTAAAAGAAATGAAAATGGAGAGGACAGGACAAAAAGATTGTGAGAGGGGTGAAACAGGTGATGGAGAGAGGGAAATGACAGAGAGAGAGAGAGAGAGAGAGAGAGAGAGAGAGAGAGAGAGAGAGAGAGAGAGAGAGAGAGAGAGAGAGAGAGAGAGAGAGAGAGAGAGAGACAGAGAGACAGAGACAGAGACAGAGACAGAGACAGAGACAGAGACAGAGACAGAGAGACAGAGACAGAGACAGAGAAAGAGAGAGAGAGAGAGAGAGAGAGAGAGAGAGAGAGAGAGAGAGAGAGAGAGAGAGAGAGAGAGAGAGAGAGAGAGAGAGAGAGAGAGAGAGAGGAGACAAAGCTACGCTTTATTCCATTACCAACTCACCGTCATGGAACGCACGAAGCAGATCGGGATGGAAGTGATGAGAGGGTTCCCAGGTTATTTCACTGTGCGAAAAAGGAAGGTACATTAGGTCAAGGTGTAACTGATTTTAACGAAAGGACATTCGTGGGATGTCAGGTTGAAAATATGGGCGATACCATGCATCGGAAAGACTGCAGATGAGTTCTCATGCAAAAACGCAGTAGTTAGGATCATCATATATTCTTAGTTAGTACTACTGTTTACTGTTATGTACTGGTAACTGACCAAATTGGTAATTGCGTACTTTGGAGCGATAGCAGTACAGTGTTTGATATGCTAAAAAATATTGAAGTACGAAGTTGTCTCTGGATCAGTAAGGACACTAATATCACTTTGCACACTAATTGCTAAATGTACAAAATATGTGCGAAATACTTACGGAGTGCCTTGCCATTTCACCCGATACATATCCGTGGCCTCGTTAAACTCTAGAACGTCCTCGACGAAAAATACTTCCTGTAATATAAAAAATCTCCGTGAAGGAGAAAAGGATGAAGAGAATGACGAGAGAGAGAGAGAGAGAGAGAGAGAGAGAGAGAGAGAGAGAGAGAGAGAGAGAGAGAGAGAGAGAGAGAGAGAGAGAGAGAGAGAGAGAGAGAAAGAGAAAGAGAAAGAGAAAGAGAAAGAGAAAGAGAAAGAGAAAGAGAAAGAGAAAGAGAAAGAGAGAGAAAGAGAAAGAGAAAGAGAAAGAGAGAGAGAGAGAGAGAAAGAGAGAGAGAGAGAGAGAGAGAGAGAGGGGAGAGAGATGGGAGCAAGGTATCATAGCGACAGGTAAAATAAGAAACATAAATTTGGATATTTGTGCCCATAGAACAGGAGAAAACAGTGGATATGTTAACACAGATAACAGTGGCATGTTAATGGTGCTATGGCGATAGGCACTCCCGGGGCTAACTGCTATGAAAATTTTAGGCGATGATTTATTGTGATGAGGTGGCGAGGTACTAATTACCATGAGCAGCATGATTCAATATCGTAGAGTAATAACCGTATGCTCACTGTCTTGAAAAATCTGAACTTAGCCTAAAATGAATAGTTATTTCGAATAATCCATTTACATCTTGAGTCATTTTAGGCTAAGTTTAGACTTTTCAATACAGTGAGCATACGATTATTACTCTGCGATTATTTATTATCTGAAAACATGTCCGTTATAAAGGTATAGCAATCGCAAATTACCTCAACACTCCTCCGGGGTCTTTTTCTGGCGATCAGCCTTCCTGGGCGTCCCTAGGAAGGAACATATGCATGTTTGTTAAACAGTATCGTGACTACATGAAACATTGCTTGCAAGTTACACGCACACATATACACAACTCGTCATATCACACTATAAACACGTTCCAACAAGATCAATTCAGTTCGGTCCATGAGTATCACTCAATAACATTGTCGCATGCAGATAACCCTATTCCTTGCTCGGGTATTTCTTTCATTTTTTAATTTCAGATAAAAATGACACTGAAGAACGCTGCATTTGAGCCTTTGTGCAGAATGTCTGGCGCTTGTACCAAATTTTTAACACCAAAATATACATCAGAGGCGGCTCCAGACCCAATTTTAAATAACCAAATTGGTGCCAAATGTGACAATGGCCAACAATGAGTGTGTGTTGATATTCAAAAAGGACTTGGAGATCGAACATAAAAATCATGCCAGCGCCCAGGGGGGTACGCTCCGGCTGTTAAGCATTATGAAAAATGGTGACAGACGTTTGTGGAGGATTGTCGACGAACTCTTGTTCCGTGAGCAGTACTTACACGCTAGCGGAAAATTCACCAATCAGCGCTCGGCGGTACTCGACGCTGATTGGTCCGACGCTCGTGACGAAATTGCGGGGGACCGCAGTTATTCTCTATGGACCCGAATAGGCTTTTGGATTTCGGAGGGGTTTCTTTAAAATCATATGCTGTTTCGAGCTGTTTTCGAGTTGAAATATATTTCTTATGACTGTTACCTATATAATGGCACCATAATATCATGATTTTGATAAATATTACCGATGAAATATCGGCCGAAAAGACATGCTGTCATGGTACGGACTGCCCTGCGGCTGATGTGGGGTCCCTAATGCCAGCGTATGGTAATAATGGGGTGACGAAGGGTTATTGGAGACTCTTAGAGCCCCATCAGCATTCAGCATAGGGTCATCAGAGGCCGGGAACGTCCATCAGGGGTTTGAGTAGGCCTGTCATAGGGGCATACATGACACATCATGGCCCATGGGTCAATGTAGATCCATGGGGCCGTTGAAGGGCCAGCATTGTTCAGCGTGGGCTCGCAATTACCTCTGATGGGCATATGCCGTGCCCCGATGGACTAACGCTGGCCCCTGATGAACCATCACCAGCCCCTGATAGGTCTACAAAGCCCACTGCTGGGTCTAAATTGGTCACTGATATGCCCAAATGGGCCACTGAGAAACCCGTACAACATCCCCTGACTGCACCTGCTGGACCAGTGCCGTCCTCTCATGGGCCCACCACAGCTCTTGAATGACCTTTTCAAGTCCCTTGAAGTGCCTTTATTGGCCTAAATGGCCCCTGATTGGCTTATGTGGTCTCTATTGGTCCTATATGGCCCCCATGAGCCCTCAACGTCCCTAGACGGCCTTACATTATATGTCACTGGGCCCTGTTGGGTCAGCACCGGCCCCTGATAGGCTTGCACTGGACCCACCGGGCCTATACCGACCCATGAAGGGCCTATGTCGAGCCCTCATGGGCCTCCGATGACCACACGCCGGCATGTGTGGCCCCATCAGCAGTGGTCCGTCTATCCCATGTACTTACGGTCTTTTTGGTCGATGTGACACCGGTAGTATATAGAAATGTTATGATTAAATGTCGTTATTACACAGTCAAAAGTCACAGAAAGAATATCCAAGCTCAAAAATGGCCTCAAACCCAACAAAAACTGGTACAAATCCCCTTCAAAAGCCATAAGTCTATTAAACGCCATAGGGGAATAGCTGCAGTCCCCCGCAATTTCGTCACGAGCATCGGGCCAATCAGCGTTGAGTATTGCCGAACGCCGATTGGTCGATTTCCGCTAGCCTGTAAATGCTGCTTGCGGATATAGTTTTGAACAAAAGAGGGTCGCGGCTACTAATTATCGCTTGTCACCACTTTTTCGTCGGGAGCGTTCTACCTGGTTTATATAGCCTTGCCAGCGCCGCACTTGGGCGCTTCAATGTAGAGGTACAACACTTGTCAGTAACGTATTCGGCGCTAATGATATTGGACTAGCACAGCTCGGTAAAAAGCGCAAAACAAGAAAACCGTAACACCGAAGAAAAGAAACACAAAAGCGTTAAAGGTGTCTTTATTTTGTACCACAGTTTTTGCCGTCTGAAACCGCCTATGCTTCAACAGTTTCCCAAAACCAGAAACTTTTATGGAGGCTAAGTTTAGGTATGAATAAGCACTTAGTTTCGTTAAAATCGGTTGAAAGTTAAAGATTTATAGCCTTTCCAACTCCATTCCACCTGCAAGGAATAAGGTTAACAGATCCTAGAAACCAAACAAATCTGAAACGAAGAACAAAATATTCATTTGATCTCAGTATGTTTTACGCAATACTCATATTTTCAAATAAAAATACAAAACGTCCGACGTCGGGCACTTGCTGATGGAAATCTGTACGAGCAAGGCAAGTAACAATGATTAATGAGGAGTGTGTCGTGCTACCATATGCTCATCTCTGATCTACACACACACCACAGACAAACCTTTCTTTTCCCCATGTTGGCTTAATCCACGCTTGGGCGGTGGACCTACGCTTGGACTGTACGCATGCGCTTGGATCATGCGTCTGGTCACCTGGAAAATAACAGTGAATTGACAAGTAGTATATAAGTAGTATATACAACTTATATATACTAGTATAGACTAGTATAAGTAGTACATAAGTAGTATATAAGCCTTACATGTCACAGAAAGTGTAAGTCAATAGCAATCACAAATGTCTCAATGAGCGAAGGGTGAAGCTTATTTATCCTTTGAAGGACCCAACCGTATTTTTTTTTTACCGACAGTGCCCTGTCACTGACCCCCGACCCTTTCCCTATCCCCCACCCTCCTACCAATGTCCGATCATTTTTATAAATTTATTCAAAAAACTTTGAATGGGTGGATTTCCGATGTCAGAACTAACGCTAAGCGGTGCTTGTTGCGCAGGTTCTGACCTCTAACGCCCGATCGGGAAATTTCGGGTACAAGGCAGAATTTAGAGTCGAATATTTAACGTGTACATCATAGCCGGACACGGCCCGCCCCACTAACCGGCTTCATCTGGCCTGTAACGCGACCACTGTCACTGTGAATCGCGCATAATAAAGTACCTAAGTATCTGGTTATGTGCACACAAAGCAACTTAATGGCTTCAGGGGCGTAGTCAAGGGGGAGCCATAGGGGCCATGCCCCCTTGAAGCCCAATAGGGCCCCCATCGCGCCAGGCCAGGGGCCCCTATTCCATAGGGCCCCTGGCTGACACAGTGGGCCCTTGGCGATGCAAAGGCCCCTGCGACAGATCATTTGATGCAGCTGCGTAGCCATAATTTGGAGCCCCAATTTTAGAGCCTTGGGCCCTTTTGAAACCAGGGGGTCCAGGTGGATGGGATGGGTCCAACGGTGTGTGCACAAAATCAAGGTGTAAATAATATGCATATTTTAATGTAGAACATCTGAAGGGCCCTCTGTTAGTCTAAAGGAACCGCTATTTGCATGAGGGGCCCTTTTTGGACCGAGAGGGCCTTCTGTCGGTCTGAGGGGCTTCCGATCGGCCTGAGGGGCCCGTTGTTCGTCCGAAGTGGCCTCTAATCAACTGGAGGGGCCTTTTCCCCACCTGAGGAGCTCCTCTTTCGACATGAGGGGCCTCTGTCAGTCTCAGGGGCCCTCTCCCGACCTGGGAGAGGCCCTCCGCTGTTCTGAGGGCCCCTGTTGGCCTATGGGTCCCTCGATCGGCCTGAGAGAGCCCTCTGTTCACCTGACGGGCCCTCTGTTGATCTGTTTGTCTCCGACTGTTGGTCTGACCCTATGTCGGTTTGAGGGATCGCAGATCGGATCCACTGTCAATCTGAGGTGCCCCTATCGGTTTGAGGAGGACCTCAAATGACCTGAACGGGCCGTTACTTTGGCTGAGAGGGCCCTCCATCGGTCTGACAGGGCCCTCTGCACGTGCAAGGGGGCCTTTTATAGGTCTGAGTGGCCCTTAGACGGCTTACATGACCCTCAGACGGCTTACGAGGCTCTCATGGGCTGTGGAGGCCTTTGGCGGTCTGAAGGACCCTCATCCGACCTACGGGGCCCTCAGACCGCCCTCAGAACCGGCTGAGCGACTCTTTGAAGCTATTCGTGGGCCTTGCTTCATGCTTGCCCCAAAAACACCCCTCAGTTTTAACATTCTTTTCCTTTCTTTTCTAATAAATATTTCATATATTTATTTGCCCCCCCCCCCTCCAAAAATAGTGGATGAAATCCGACGACTTTTTCAATTTTGAGGGGGTTACCTTGAGCCCCTGTCAGTTTGGCCCCCTCCTTTAGGGAAATCCTGGCTACGCCCCTGAATGGCTTTGTGTAATTGGAGACACTGAGGCTGATTAAGAAGACAGTCTTAGACGGACAGACCAATGGCTTAACCCGGCAGTTGCTGGGGTATTTCGCCACCCACCGTTTGCTGGGGGGGGGGCGTTAAACGCCCCCAGCCGATAACTCGAGAACGAATAGGCGCAGCGAAACGCACGAGGCGGCAAACGAAAGAACGCGACGAGACGCTTCAGATGAGTACTTTAAAGTTGAATTTTGAGGTCACAGGTCGGGTCAAGGTCAGGTCAAACACCTGAAATCGGGCTTTCAGTAGCATGGACTTCAGGACTTCGCAATGGGCGCCTCTCGTCATAAACTCTGTCAAAACGGTGCACAATCCATCATATAAGGCCTACAAGAGTGTCAAGCTCCATGTAGGGGTCAGTCAAGCATAGGTCAGGGTCAAGGTCAGGTCAACCGGGTAGGCAAATATCCCCGAAAATCAAAACTGAAATTCGCAGCCTGTGACACATGTTTTATGGGTAATTTTGGGCGTAGAACACGATGGTGGCATTCATTTTATCATATGTGTACGTGTTTGGCTCAAAAAGTTGAATTTAAAAAATGCATGTATCATGGTCGTGAAGTAGTCACGAGAAATTGCCGAGATTCAGTTCGAGATTTTGGAAAATGCGGAACGATAATCAATAATCGAAGATAGCCATTTGATTGTTCATGGTATTGGCAGTCTAATGGCGTTTACAGCATGTCTGGATGTCTATTCTGTGATTTTATATGATTTTTTGAACATATGCCGTTTTTGGTCGAAAACTCAGAAATCATGACGTCACTAAAACCTCGATATCTCAAAAATTTTCCGACCGATTTTTTTGAAACTTTGTCACAATAAACTTCGATCAATTCCCTACAGGTACCCAAAATTTGGCGCGCCTGCGGCGCGCCGTTTTTATGCTATGGCCCGGCGAAAAAAGTGGGGGCGTTTAACGCCCCCCCCCCCCCAGCAACTCGCGGGTTAAGAAATAAAACAGCCCAAAAACAAATTTCATGTCAAAAGCAGAAAGTTTCATAGAACTCTTTTGGTACAAAGTATGTGAATCTAGGGAGAAATATCACCAATTTCAGATCTTTGACATGCTCTACTCAACGCGATGAATTTGTTTCTGAAAACGAAGGTGAGAAAGAATGTACAAGATTAGTACTTGGTCAGGTGCACACACAGCTACCTACAGGGTGTCCAGAAAAAACGGATACTATTATTTTTTGCTGTAATTCCGAAAATAAACACCTTACATTTTAAAATGGCACATGCTTGTATTCGCCAGAATATGGCAAAACTGACAGCAGGTGCCACATGGCATGTAAACTCTTTGGTTAGTTGCGGCAGCTCCTCAAAGCAGATACTCAATGTGAGCGGCCTTACGGCGGATCAGCTCCAGCACTAGCACAGTCTGCAGGTGACTGATGGTCATGTTGACCATCTCGGAGGGCAAGCAGACAACCTTCCAACGACGCATTACAGTGCTCATGAGTTTTGCCAAATCTTGCACTATAAGCACATACATTTGGAACAAAATCGGCACGTGCGTTAATGAATGCGGCTTAATTTCCGTAGTATCTTTTTTTCCTGGACACCCTGTACTTACTTTCTTCCACTAGCTTACATGTGCATTTGCCTTAAATGATAATTACCCAGTTATTTTTGGTACTGGAAAATAGCATTTAAAGACAATGAGGCTAATTCAATAGACGGAATGAGAAAATTGACAAAGTTGTAGAAAAGAAAGACCAAAAACACCTAAGCCCAAAGCGGAGCGTTTCATTAGGCATTTTTGGTATTAAGTGAACCTCAAGGGTTACCTTGAGTTCCAGGGCACTAACATGTTCTAATCAACCTGCTGAATGCGTTTCCAAAGACATAATGGAATAAGAATGAGAGAGATTCAATTGCGCATCAAGAATAGTAGGTACCTGGTCAGGTGCACACAAACAGCAAAGTCACTTAATATCATGACATGCATGTGCATTTCCCTTAATTACAAATAGCCCAGTTTTTTATACTGGCAAATAACATTGGAGACAGTGAGGCTGATTCAGATAACAGACTTTGGAAATGGCCAGTGGTTTAGAAAGAAAAGTCCAAAACACCTTTCATGTCAATTGCAGAAAGTTCCGTAAATCACTTTTGGTATTATGTGAATGTTTGAAGATACCTAACCCAAGTTTATTAGAAGGATGAAGAATAACTTGTTAAACAATATCACAAGTTTCATGGATTTGACATGTTTTACTCAATGCACTGAATTTGTCTCTAAAAAAGGATTAAGAAAGAGTGAGGGTGTCGATCGTGCAACAAGAATAGTAAAGGTGCAAATTGTACTTAGTAAGGTGCAAACAAAGCTACTTACTGCCACAGGCTTACATGTGCAGTTCTCTTAAAATAATAGCAATCCATTTATTTTTGGATACTGAAAAATAGCATTTAAGACACTGAGTCTAATTCAATCAACAAAATTGGAAAATAGGCAAAGCTGTAGAAAAGAAAGCCCAATAACACCTGAGTAGGTACAAAGCGGAACGTTTCGTTAGGCACTTTTGGTAATGGGTGAATCTCAGGGGCTATCTTAAGTTCCAGGACTCCAACATGTGTCAACCAATGTGCTGAATGCATTTCTTAAGACATAATTGGGAAAGAATGAGAGGGCGTCAATCGCGCATCAAGAATAGTACTAGATTAGGTGCACACAAACTATAGAACTATTTAATACGACTTGTATGTGCATTTCCCCTTATACCTGCATTTCCCCTTAAGTACCTATAGCCCAGTTATTTTTGGTACTGGCAACTAGCATTGGAGACACTGATACTGATTCAGAAGCCAGAATTGAGAAGCACCAGGTTTAAAAAAGAGAACAGCTGAAAAAACACCATATGTCAAAAGCGGAGTTTCGTAAAACATTTTTGGGATTGTTATTCTAGGGAGGTATCACATGTTTCAGAGCTTTGACATGCTCTACTCAACGCACTGAGTTCATTTCTAAAAACAGAATTGAGAAAGAATGAAAGAGGGTCAATAGCGCAACAAGAATAGTACCTAGGTACTTGGTCAGGTGCTTACCTACAAACTAATAGCTGCCACTAGCTTACATGGACTTTTCCCTGAAAATAATAATAACTACATGTTATTTTAGAAGCTGGAAAATAGCATTTAGGACACTGACACTTATTCAATGACAGAATTGGAAAATTTGCAAAGTTGTAGAAACAAAAACCAAAAACACAAGTCCAAAGCCGAATGTTTCGTAGAACACTTTTGGTATTGGGTGAATCTCAGACGTTAGCTGAAGTTTCAGAGCTCTAACATGTTCTTTTCATCTTGCTTAATACGTTTTTGAAGGCATCTAATGTTCTGAAATTATTATGAAATTAATCCTGAAATTATTGGTAGGGCTCGGGACCTACCAAGCCTATGGAAAACAACACCCATGCACTGAAGCTGATTTAAACTTGAACTGGATAATTACCAATATTTAAGAACAGACAGACACTCA